TTTATTCTCCAGTATTTCCTGTCGCGCTTCTTGATTAGAGCAGATTTGATCAACTCTTCTTTCCCTTCACCTTCCCTTCAGGCGATGCCCCTGTAGACCCGGACTGCTGCACCCTCACCCCTCGCTTTCAGCACGCTCATCCCCAGCCCTCGGTAGTTTTTCCCCCTCTCTGCTTCCTAGAGGTAGGCACGGGGAGACGTTTGCGGAGCGGACAGATGTGGATGGTGAAGGCGCTCGTCCCCTGCGCTGTGCTCTGCCGCTGCGGTGCCGGCATCGGGAATTCCCGATGGGAAGCCGTTGGCCGCTGAGCAGTATCCACAAAGCCGTTTGCCTCATATCACACCGTGATTCTAGTTTTTGTATTATTAAGAACAAATTGGGGTTTTGATTTACAAATCATGAGTTTATCCCTCACCGGACACACCAAAGACCAGTAAAGCTTATAGCTTTTCCATCTGTTTATAAAGCAATACTGTATTATAAAGAATTGATATTTTTATCACATGCTTGATTGTTTTGGGGTTTGGTTTTTTTTCCTTTACTTTCAGATGTGCACTCGAAACATATCAAACCTGATTTCTTCCTATGAACTTAAGCTGTCTGCGCACAACAGATTTCATGGAAAAGGAAATGACAGGGCCCATCCTATCAAAATCCTTGTAAGCGATGCATGAAGCAGTAACACTTCCTAGGAATTAGCTTATTGTGGCTACTCACGAGAGGAGCGTACAAGAAAGGTGTTCATGCCATGGAAGCGTGCGTGAGCGGAGCACGGGCTGACTCCCAGCTGCACGGAGGGTTTCTGGTTGTGGTCAGGAGCTGGTGGATCGGGAGCGATGAGCTGGAGGAAGAGTTTTGTACATCAGTGACACTGAACACCCGGGGCTGGTGGGAACTGGGGTTCCTGCAGCATTATTGGGTGTTTGGACAAACCAGGGCTGAGATGTGGTGAATTGGAATAACTCTGTGGTTCCTTGCTCCTTTTACAGCTATCTTTGGGAGAGCTGCGCCATCCGGCTTCCATCCAAATGTACTTTCTTGGTGTCTATGAAGAAGGTTAAATGGCCAAAATAACCCCAAAAAGCAGATCTTGGGACCAGGCAGTTGCAGTGAGTCAAAGAGAAGGGAGAGGTGAGGGTCTGGCAAAGATGTGGAGGATTTAGCGGTGGAATCCCTATCTGTTGGTGATGGATATCCCTCCTCTGTGGAAAAACCCAGCTGTGTGGGTAAGAAGGGGCTGTATGAAGTAGTTTCTCACAAAGATAGCTGAAATAACGAAGCAAATCTGAGTCTGTATCTAATGAGGATGCTTTTTTGTTGTTGTTAAAATGAGACTATCATCTATGCTTACCTAAGAAGCGATTATGTGAATTTCATGTCTGAGGTATAACTTATGCAGGAATAGTTCTGTAAATACATTTAAATGAATTGTAAAGATATTTAATAAATATAGTATTTATACTAAAATGTGCTTTTTTAAAGTAAACTTGACTGCAAAACCTCTGTTTGTCAACGCAGTGATGTCGGTGGTGGCACAAGGATCACTGCCACTGAGGCGTTGGGCTCTTTAGACCCTTGTATGGTCCTCCTAAATCGCTGTGGGAATGAAAGTGGGCTCTAACAATCTGGCAGACAGAATCACCAGTTTTGGTTAAGTAAAGATTAGGAAATTCAGTATTTTATCCCAGTGTGACTTTGGGAACACCGCCACTGAGCTGTGATGGAAGAGGCAGGGGGTGGGAAAAGAATAATGGGAAACGCAGAAACCTCTTGCACATCACCTTTATTTGTTCAAATGCATTCCTCTGGTGTTGGTTACTCAGTGAAATGCCAGTTCTGCACCAACCCTGTGCCAGCACCGGCTGTTCCCCAGCAGTAGTGTGCCCGGCTGTGCTGGAGTGGGTGGATGGGTTCATTTTTCCAGCACTCAACTTTACAACAGCAGCTTACCTGGCCTCAAGTGGCAGAGTTCTCCAGTGGGAACGCGCTGAACAGCTGAAGCTGTTCTTGCACAACACGTAAGGAACCCCAGAGGGGCAGGACAGCAGGTAACGGCGCGGGATGACCTGTGCTGGTGGTGAATGTGAACAGTGAGTGAACTCTTAACCTGAACTGACAAATAAGCTGGTGCTGAGTTGAGTCCTTGTCTTGCAAAAACATAGGCGTTGTCTGAGTGGGATTTCCACTTCCCAGACTCCAAACGGGTATTCATGAAGTGCTCTTCACTGCACCAGCTTAGAACACAGCTTCCATCAAGCTCTTAACTTGCAGAACAGCAGCTAAACTTTGTAAAACCAGGAACAGCTCCACTGTTACCCCACCTTTTATCTTTCAAGGCAACCCCCAGTAGTCTTTAGGTTCAGATGCTTTATGGCACTAGAGGACTGGGGGGCTCCGCATGTTGCCAAAATCCTCTTCAGTGTCGCTAGCTGTCGCTAGGCTATGGAAGGTGTGACTGATGGCATCCTTCTCCTTACAGGAAACTGCTCCAAAAAACAGGGAATGAAACTGAAAATACAGTAATTACAGAAGTCAGAAACTCTGAATTTGGGGTTAATTATTTCTGAAGCTTTTGCTACTTCAAGATCTTTATTACTACAGCGGCTCCATGTAAACCACACCTGTCACCTGTGAGTATTCCCAGTACTAAACATGGTGGCAGAGGTGTTTTTTGTCAGCTCTGCTGCTGTGGGAGCTGCTTCCACTGAAAGGCCACAGGCAGAATTGAATGTAGTTACACGTAGTGACCCCCAGGCTACGTGTACCTGAACACCAGCTGAGGTGTTCCACCCTAAATACAACTGGCTGCCTCACCTTGTCATAGTGAGCCTCTGTTGCCCCTCCTGCCAGTGCTGCATGGGCTGTGGTTGTTCCTCCTACCCCTGTTGCATCTCCCCCTGTGGCTCCAGGAATGACTTTCCTCTGTTTCACCAAAGGACTCCGAGGTTTTGCCGGCTCCGTGCTCGGGGTGTTTCCATTCCTCTGTGGCTTTTTGGAAGCATTTGCCTGCGTGCTGCTGTCTTTATCCATGGAGGCTTTTTCAGCTTTCCCTGTACGTGTCTCCGGGCTGGATGGGAGAGAGGAGGTCAGGTCAGTAACTGGCTTTTATGTTTCCATTAGAATGTCTGTTTTCTGATAGTGAAATCATTATGGCTTTAGAATGGATTCTCAACAAGTACCTTCCCTTCCTCTCCTACTGCAATAGCCCTGTGGAGATAAAAGAAAGCAGAAGCCAGTACAGAGTGTGCTCTCTTGTACTGTTTTATTGCTGCACATGCTGCTAAGGTGTTCCTGAACCTGCCTAGTTCACTGTTCTGTGAACAGAGACGCCAGTACCCTGCAAGAATGAGCTGATTCCTTTTCATCCTAAATCCAGCTTGGCTGGAACGCTTAAACTTCAATTTTCCATCCTCCCTCTCCCACCCCTGAAGCCCACCGTTACCTTTCCTGCCGTGGTGTAAAGCTGGGTGGTTGCTGCTGGGAAGTCTTCTTGTCAACGTCAGACAAGGTAGCCAAGATAAAGCTGGCTTCCAGCACCAGATCTTCAATGCTGAAAGCAACTGGCCTGAACAAACATTCAGAGGTGTAAACCAGTGTGTGTAATTACACGTGTTGTGGGAGAAAACAGTTTGTGCAGTTCTACACATAGGGATCAAAATGTGCCTCTGAAAAGCTGAAAATGTGATGTGTTTGCTGCTGAAGGATATGAGACGGCTTCCTGAGGCAGATTTAAATGCAGCAATGAGTAGATGTTATACAATACTGTACAGTATTGTACTTAGTCAAATTATAGTTTTAAATACGCAACAGTTAAATTTGTATTTTAAACGGAAAACTTATTGTTGCTTTAGACTATTGAATAAAACTATTGTCTGCATTAGCATACTTCTGCCTTGATGTGGGTATTTTCCTACCCACACCGTTAGCACATACAGCAGTAACAGCTGTGTGAATCTTGGTCTATGGAAGTAGAGGCAAGTTCTCAGTTTATTTGAATGTTTCCTTTTCTAGTATAATGAATTTTCTCAGTGTAGAATACACCACTCTATATTTTAATGAAGTTGGATGGGGCTTGGAGCAACCTGCTCTAGTGGCAGCGGGTTGGAGCTGGATGAGCTTTAAGGTCCCTTCCAACACAAACCAGTCTAATTCTGTGATTAGTCGGAGAGCCTGAAGCATGCAGGTGACTTCTATATAGGTGCTCATTAGTCAGCACGGGCAGCTTAGTAATGCTGTGCCTATGTTAAGTGCTTTCTGCATAATAACAGGCTATTTAACCCTGTATCGCAGATTAGAAATAGAGCTTTTTCTGGTTTATTGTTCCAGTTAAATACCGAGTAACAAAATCTGAGTGTAGAGGTGTAACTGCTGCAGTTTGTCAGGTGAGTTCCCAAACCTACTTTCCAGAGATGTCAAAATGGATGGAGACAGGAACACTGGTGGCTTCTGAAAACACCAGGAGTCCCTGGAAAGAAGAGGGGGGTGGTTAAGCACCATTAAAACCTGAAGCTTAATATTAGAATCTTAGTTTATCCCAGATGTTGTTTACTGGCAAGAAAAGGTAAAAGTCAACTGCTTCTAGAACACATGTGCTGCCATCCCTGCCTGGGGCTTTGTCAAAGAAGCTTCCACATGGAGAACTTCTCTGGCCATGATGCTTCTCCAGGTCAGTCACAGTGGTAAAAGTGTTCTGCTGCCTTTCAAAGGCTACTGTGAGGGACTCCTCAGTGTCCAGAAGATACTGATTTTAAAGCTAATCCTTGACCAGCTGATGCAATAGTGCTGCTGGTCAGGAGGCCTGATGGAGCCCGTCCAGGGCCATCCTGCATTGTCCTGGTCAAGTCAAGCAAATTAATGGGAAAAAGTTCTACTTTCAAAACAAGTTCTTACTTTACCCTCAATTCCTTAAGGCAAAACGTCACTTCAGAATCGACTCCAACCTGGAAGTAGTCAAATTCATCTGGATTCAGTTGTATTTCAGTAAGCATTGTCTTTGAGAAATCTGTTTAAAGTAACAAGAAAGGAGGCAAGTTTGACCCCAACAAACTCTGAGGATATCCCTGAGGTTGTTACATCAGCATCATTTGAGCAAGTAATTGTATTTTTAGTGACTAACGGTAATAAATGTTTTCCTCATCTCAATTTATTTCATAATTAAAATCTTCAGTTTACTTATACTATGTAGATTTAAATGGCTTTTGACACAACCTGTTTGATGTTCCAGTGTGATCTAACCCAATACCTGGTGCTGCTCTCACAGATCTGCTTTGTCTATAGGCATTCATCACAAATAATATTACCAGCTGCTTATTGCTGCATAGATGGGAAGATCAAAGTGCCACATGACTTTAACAGGTTAATCATAATTGCTGACAATCATCGGAGGACAATGGACGTGGATTTAGGTTCTTTGTTTTAAATTATAATCTTTTCCTGTTACTAAGTGGCAACAGGAAACAGGCTCCTCAGTTTCAGGTGCCAATTGTTGCTTCTTATCATTAGGTCAGCCCCTAGTTGTTATTAGGTGCATGAAAAGAAAGTAAGAGGGTGGAACTGTAACACATTCAACAGTTTCTGCAAGGCAGAGCCTACCACATGCAGATGAGAACAAGTCTGGGCAGGAGGTGTGATGTGTGCATGTGAAAATTAAACCTGGATGTGGAAAAACCCAAGCCAGCACCAGATGATGCGTTCAAAGGACATGGTTTGTTTCATATAGAACATGTGCTGCAGGCAGTGTATTGCATTACATACTACACAACAGCAACAATACTTGAAATGCCTCCTTTTTCTCCTTTATTGTTTGGGGTTTTGGTATCTCATTACCTTTTTACCTACTCATTTTTCACCTTTTCTTACAATCCTCCTGTATATTTCTAAACTAACCAAGTTTGTCATTCAATCTGTAATCTCTTTAGTATCTTTTATTTTCAGTAATTTCTTCTCTATTTCAACTCCACTCATCTTCCACCATTTAATCCTTCTTGCTCTCCACTGCTTTAGCCTGTTCCCAGCACAGTCCCCACCTCTGCTCTAGGCAGTCTTCTTTTTCTAGGTCATTATCCTCAGCTTTGGTCATAAGCAAGTATGAGAAGCATCCCTTTATTATATGATGTACAAGAACCTGTACTTCAGAAACACAATTACATCTTTAAAATTAGCTTGAGTCACACCCCATGAATTTAGATTGTTCTCATCTCAGCTGGAGATCTGAGAATGGCAGCATGCAGCACTGCACTGTTAGGCCAGCTAACACACTGTATTGCCCTTCTACTAAAATACAGTCTGTAATGAAATCAATTCTGTAATTGTGGTATTCAGATTTAAATAGTTCTTTTTCAAAACATAAAATGATCTCCTTTTTCCTGTATGCTGCCGTGCTTCTGCCCCTGCAGCACAGTAATTACTCTGCTTAAGCCTACTGCCAGTGGCATAATTTATTTCAATTGGCTGCTCAGTCTGGTATCTGCCACAGATACCAGGAAATGGTGTTAAAAAACGTACTTTCCTCAAATATATTAAAACCAAAGCGCAGAAGTAGGACTTAGAATCTCCCTGTGTATGTTTCCTCTCTTACAAATCTTATTCAGCCATTCAGGTTATTATTCTTTTAGTCACCTGTTTTAAAGTCCCAATACTGTTTTGTATTTTGAATATTCTTACCAGTGTCCTCCTCGGTGTAACTCTTGAAACAAACTTTCATTGGTGTAACTGATAAAGTTACTTCTTCTTGACTGCTCGGGAAGTGAACCATGATATCAGCCAGCAGCCTGTAAAACGTCAGTCAGTGTTAAGATACCTGCCGCAGATTCCCAGCCAGCATTTGTTACTCACATGAGAAACTAGAATAGTTCCTGGGCAGTACTGGTTGCAAAAGTGCCTTTGAAATGTGCACCCCCTACTGTGTGTGCATCTTTTTAATTGATTTATGTGCCAACAGGTACAGAAGACATCTAAAAATACAGCCAGTCATTACAAAAGCAGATTTGTTTGATGTCTGTGTATGCTGCCAGATCAATCTTACATATATATATATGTCTGATACCTTTCTCTCTATATATATCACAATTTTGAGCAACCCTCAGTATCCTATACTCCTTATTCAAAATCTTAGTTTTTTACAGTTACACAATCTTTTTATAAACACACTACATAGTATCTATACACAGAGGTCTTTATACACATTTAATAGCTGACTCTTGTGACAAGAAAACACTGTCAGAAGCACTGACAGTGACAGAAATGCTCTCAGGGAAAGTACAGTTGAACTGTTCTTTGCCTTTGCCTGCAGTGACAAGAACTTTGCCTTATTGCACTGAAGAAATTGTACTTTTATCACTGGATTCTTTACCTATAACATTCCAGCTCTGCTTTAGTTGTCATAGGTGGAAGTAGCTTAAAGGTATGAATTCAAAGCAGACATTACACACTTCTCAAGGTTAGACTGAGTGGGATTAATGGCAGAATGAGCCCCATTTCTTAAGCTGCAATGTGAAAAATCAAGCACTAAGGTACAGGGTTTAGGAATTTGCCATTTTTGGCTGTCCCCAATCAGACTTTGATTCTGTCACTGACTATGGCACCAGTATCATCTCCTGTAAGATTCTGCGTTCCAGAAAGATAACATTTTTGTATTCATTACCTGGAGTGGAGTTTGAGTACGTTGGGACACATGTGCTTTGCAAAAACAGCCTGCAGCGGATCGCATTCTTGAAATGTCAGGTTGTATGTTTTCACAACCCCTGAGTATAAAGGGTATGAACAAAATCAGTGCTGGTCTGTCATTTTAACTGGCTTATTCAGTATTAACTGTCCTTTTAGGATATCTCAATAGAGAAAATAACTACACTTAATCTAGCTGTGTGGAAATAACTCACTAACAAATAGAAAACTGCATTCACCTGCCATGGGAGACTTCCTTCACCTTATTAGTTATGCCCTGCAAGGTTCTGATGTTTTTTTAAGAATTCACAAGATGCAAGCAAAGAGCAACAAGTGCAACAAATGCAGGGAGTGGGGAAAGGCTTCAGTGTTTAACTGGTACAATATAAATGGTGACAGAATCAGATCTCTGTGTATTTCTAGATAAGCATGAGCTAAGAGAGCTTAATGATCCTTCCCTAATTCAATGTGTTCTCTCATTATTAGTAACACAAGATGGATTTTTAATGATGTAAACCACTGCCTATCACACAGTGGTATCACAAGCTATCACATCAGCAAGCTGTGTTGATAGATGATGGTTCTTTATGAGTTTTACAAAGTACACGTGGTGTTCTGCTGGACTGAGGATGTCAGACCTAGTGCTAAATAACTGTTAGAAGTGAAAAGACCCCGTAAATCCTCTACCAAACCAGGATTTCCCTCCTTTTCCACAATATGTTTTTAAGAGTTTACTCCAGCCTCATTCTAAATGTTGTAGGCAGTTGGCTGGCAATTAATATACAGCAGGCATTAACTACTGAGCTGAAGACTGTTTGTCTGATAAAGCCTATTTTAACTTCATTTTAATAAGGTAATGCAGATAAGTATAAATAATGATGTGAAGAGGCTGGAAGTGGTTGGCATAATGTTCCATCAAGAACATTCAGCTCCTAATTACACTCAATATTGTGCTGCCCTGCTGTTTTAAACTGCTGCTGCTCATGTGAAGATGTGTAACCTACCATGTTTGCAGAGGAGCTGAAAAGTTATGTGATGATCATTAATATCTGTATAAATGCTGCATTTCTCTACATTCCTTTCCAGCATATTTACACATCTAAATACAGGAAGAACTGACTGTAAAGAAAACAAACAAATTAGCACAGAGGTTATTCACTAAGCAATATTTCCCCTACTTTTGTATGATTTATATCAAGTTCCTGCTTTTATAGCTTCCCCAAACTGCTTTGTAAGCAGATACTAATCCTTGCCATCCTCACCCACTATTCCAATATATGCCTAATAGAGCTGTTTGCTAAAGAACTGGTCAAAGCTCTCTGGCTCATACTGGTTGTGAAGGAGAACCACAGAGAGGCAGAAATGTGGTATTCCTTTATCCTGAGATTAAGCTGGCTCAGACTTCGGGAACCACAGGGCACAACTGAGGAGGTACAACTTCCAAACATAATTATATACTAACACCCTTTTGCAGAGCTGCTCAGAAGTGTTTTGAGTTCAGAGCCATCCACATACCTCTAGGAGCCTCCCTCTATAATTTCATTTGGAAATTGGGCTAATTTGCTGCTTACAAAGCTGTGCATTGAAAAATCCATTCAAATGTACCTTGATTATCAATTTACACGGGGGGGATAACTGCTTTTCCTTCTGATGTGGCTGAGGCACAGCTGCCCAGCAGTAGTGTTGAAAAAACATAGATGAGAAGAACACGTATGCATATGCTGACCTTGAAGAATTCACTGATCTCAAGGCAAGCTGATAACGGAAGTAAAATAATTTATTAATGAACATTTATTAACTCAAAACTATTTACACTGTACCATACAGGTACCATTTGGTACCATACAGGAACCATTAGAGCTTTTAAATCTCAGTACTCATAGAATCATAGAATGGAAAGGACCTTAAGATCATCCAGTTCCAACCCCCCTGCCATGGGCAGGGACACCTCACACTAAAGCATCTCAACCAAGGCTTCGTCCAACCCTGAACACTGCCAGGGATGGAACATTCACAACCTCCCTGAGCAACCCATTCCAGTGCCTCACCACCCTAACAGGAAAGAATTTCCTCCTCATATCCAATCTAAACTTCCCCTGTGCATTACAGATAGAGTCATAGTTCAAACTTATCACCTGTATCATTACTGGTATAATACAGGCAGAGGAATCCAGTCTATGGACATTTAAGTGGCCCTGACCTTTGGTGAGTTACCAAAACACTTGGAGCTCAGTCTGAAGCATGTGAAGGATTGGAGTTTATTCTAGAACAATCTTGCTCTATGCCCATCCACACAACACATACAAATGAGCAAAGACACCAGTAGCACCCCAAAACCTCTTATATAAAGAGTTTACACTATTATATAAAGAGTTTATAAAGGTCTAAAAGGGAATTATCTCCAATCCTCACCCTCCCAGCAAGTCAAGATCACTTTTAACTAAGAACCCCCTAGAGAAAACCCTAATATTGCTGGAAATGGCTTCTGATTAATCAGAGGCACATTAATGGATGCACGCTTCCTGTTGAGTCATCCTGGTACAAAACATGTTGTTTAGAGGCAGCTTCTGATGGGGTACAGCACAGGAACCTTTTGACCCATGGTATTAATCCAGATGTCCTGGACAAGCTCAGGTAACAAAGAATGGAACAGCAGGGGCAGAGTGGGAATGGCTCTTCCATGATGCAATCTGTGTAATTACAATTACAGACAATATGGCGTTTGTCCATATTGAAAGTGGAGGGGCTCAGATGGGAGGGTACCTGCAGGAAAACAATGCATTATCCAACAAGGTAAATATTGTGCTTCCGACAGAGGCTTTTAAACTACAATAAATCAAATCCACTTACACCTTTCTCTAAGGGGTCAAACCAAAACTCATCGCTGATACGTGCTATGGCGTGAATTGCTCTCCCGAACACTGGCAGGAAAAGAAAACAACGCAATGTGAAAACCCAAAGTTATACTGCATCTTCTCCAGACTAACTGAAGAGGAAACATCACAAACGTTTTATGCATTTCAATGGAAACCAATGGCAGGGTGGAAAACGTCACCCTTTCCTTTCCCTTTTCAGCACAAACACCTTGAAGCCCGCTTTGCCGCACGGCCCTGCGGCAGCCCCGCTCTGGGGAGCCCGTTTCCCCCACACAAACCCCTCAGATCGGAGCTGGGTACCTCTGAGGTGCGCCCCGCCAATGACACACTTCATGGCCGCCCCTTCCCTCACACGACGGCTGCGGAAAGGGCGGGAAACGCCCCGCTGAGGGGCGTTCCTCAGAGACCCGGATGTAGCCGGAAGGCGGCTGCGGAGAAACGCGTTTTGGTCTGCGTTTGGCCCTTCGGAGGCGCCGTAGCGGGTGCTCGGCGCCGGCCTGGCTTCCGGGAGCGGGCGCAGCGGGCGCTGTGAGGAGCGCGGCGCCGGGCAGGATGGTGAGCGGCGGGGCCGGGCCGGGCTGGGCCCCGGCTCCGGGGTCTTCCTCGCCCCGTGGCGCCGGAGGGCCCCGGGTTCGCTTCCTGCGGGGTGTGGGGAACGCGCGGTCGGGGAATGCTTTCTGTCGGTGTCCGCCCCAAACCCCCCCCTCGTGCCGAGCTGAGGTAGATGGAGGGCGGGCGGGGAGCGCTGAGGAGGGGCCGTGCGGAGGGGCTGTGGCGGCCGGGGCTACGCGCAGGAGCTGAGTTTTAATTTCATTTAATTTAATTATTTTTTTTAACGCTTCTTTCATAACATCAACAATTCATTAATTATTATTTGCCTGTTCATTCGGCTGTATTTTCTTTTCTGTTGCTTTCTTTTGTTTTAACATTGATCATGGTTCACCCTGTTTTTCATTTCCCCCCCCTGTCTGCAATCAACTTCTCCATTCCAATAAGGCTGGGCACAGAGTAAGTTTACTCCTCTTGGCTGTTGCTAACACTGGTGGTAAGGGCTTG